TCCAGTTATATATATATTTTAAATATCTTTCAGGTCGGATTCAGACTTTTGAATTGCAGAGCATGTTAATCTAGCTTATTCTGAATGGACTATCAAACCATCACAACGGATATATTACTAGACCTGCACCTTTTTTCCCCCCAGTGTTCCACATTGCACAGGTGGGTTCACATCTCTGGGTTGCAGTGCACTAAAATGCAGGTCTCATTGTGGTGTCCTGGGTTGCCATTCAAATTGTACCACAATGCATTTTGACACATAAAAGTGTGCTTTGCAAGAACACATAATTTATCACACTTTGCTACAATGTATAAATGTGAGTTCTGCCGACGTGTATTGCTTCAGAGTAGAGACTCAGGCATTGCTGAAACCAGCAAGTCAGCATAAATGCTAGCAGACCAGTAATGGCAGCCCCTATAGGTCTTCTGGGACAGGCTTTCTTAAACCTCAGAATAAAAAACTGAAGTCTTAAACCAAGGCCATACTGTTTGGCAGGAGTGTCTGAATCCTAAGATCAGTTGAACAGATTTAAAAATCATTCAGCAGGTAAGGCGTTTAGCATTTATGTAGTTCAACTGTATGGTCAGCTGCTTGTTGAGGTTTCAGTACAATTACTTTTCTTTACACCTTTTCATGCTTCTTCAGTTCCTATAGATGTTATTGGATGTCACTGGGGAGCTATACATAAGGATCTCTTTATCAAGCTGAGCCAATATGTGGCAGAGGTAAAGTACTGAAGATGTGCTAGTGTACGAAACGCGTCTTGGAGGAGCCTGCAAGCTTTGACGTCACGCCGCCGGGTCATGGAGATCCAGCAGCCCCATTTGATCACCAGCTGGTTAGTGCTCATAGCAGCTTGTTGCTGCAATACTCATTCCTGCCTATTGTTTTTTAATACAACATCTTGGCACATGTTTGGCGTACAGCATTTACATGTATGAGGATATTTATTTCTGCTGCTTTATAACATCCTTCATTAAATATTTTTGACAATACTACACTATGGGTATTTCCATCTGTTGCTCTGTATCGAGCATTTAATTCCCCAGAGCTCCCCCTGGTGACTATTCTACTGTACTGAAGAGGCTGCATCTGTGTCCTTAAAGTGGACCTCCGGTTTGAGAGTATATAACCAGATGATGTTCATCCATCCCGGGCTGACTCTATTCTTATCCTGAAAGGGTCCCTCTGGCAGACCTCCGTTTTGTTGATACATTGCGCATTTGCACTTCCAGTGAGTGCGCATTTTATACATACCCTGCCCCTCACCGAGTCTTACAAAAGCTACGACTATGGGAATAGTATATCACCTTTGAGCTCCTTCATTGTGGACTATTAAACCATTTATGAACATTACCATCATACATTGTCCGGATTACATTTAGCGCTGCACTTATCCTATATTTTTTTTTATCATCATCAAATATGCAGTCATCTTATATAAACCAATTTTACACATTGTTATAGTACGCTAAGCTAGTCCAAACAATATATTCCATTTTAAATAAATAATCATAGCAGAGGATGTTTTTTTGGTTTAAAAAGTGATGCATGATATTTTTTCCACTTTTGCCTCTCCCACACTACACACACCAAAATCCAGGAATATTGTAGCTAAAGAATAACATAAGAGGGCTTGATTTAGTATGTTGGCAAAAAGAAGACATGTAGTACACTGGCATTCTAATTAAATTTAATAACTTTTGAAATAAAAGTATAATATGAATGTCAGAAGTAGAAAAGCAAACTATTTTCAGCCAAAAATGAAAATGAAATAATTTTCTTTTGAAAATATTTCAAAAAAATGTGCAAAATAACATTAACAAATCTGATGGGGAGAAAAAAAGAGGGACCTATCCAGTTCCAGATCATCTTCTTAATGTGTGGCTTTTACACGTCTGATATAGGCTGGCGTCAAGCGCCAAACTCTAAAAACCAAAACGGGCTTGATCAAGCAGCAGAGCACAGAAAGCCAAATAAACAAGGAGGTGCTCTCACCAGCAAAACAACTATCACATTCCTCACTTGCATTTTATAGAGCTTTTGTATGCCAGCAGCTAATAACAGATAATAAAAATGAAGTAATTGTACATACTTGAGACCTTGGTCAGAATGTTATTACACATAATAAAGTTTTCGTTTACTTCACCACACAGTCCAGTAAGAAGTGTTTCATAAGGGCTACTAAATAGGTAGATGAGTTATTGGCCTGGGTAACAGCACCATATGCTACACATAGTGCCAGCTGCAGCATATTCAGCCAAAAAATTAATAAAATTCACTTTCTATTTCTTGCTAACTTTCTTCATTTCCCTTCTCCCTGTAAGGCCTCCTACCTCATTTCCACACTACTGGCAGAATAAATTACTTTAACTTGCACGCCTTGCATTATTCAAGACATTAACGATTGGCTGGAATCAAGTGAGAACTTCTAATCCCACACGCCTAGACATTTGTAAGTGTAGGGGTCAGAATTTTCACATGGAAAGCTTTTATTTAAAAGCCATTATACGTGTGCAGAGAGGACTGTAAACTGACATATTTACAAACCTTGTGTTATAATATGTAATACAGAACTCTAGTGTACAAAACCTCCTCTCTAACCTCAGGTGGCAGAGCTGTTTCAAGATACTTTCGGATTGATTTACTAAAGGCAAATAAGCCTTGGAAAGGAATTGCCTCTTAGCTTAATGAATGAGGGGAGGCTCTGATAGATAGATATATATATATAAAATATATATATATTTTTTTTTAACTTGTACATGATTTGGTATTCTTTGCAATGTAAATATTATTCACCACATTCACTGTGCAAAATAAAAATGCCTTGTGAAATTAAAATTCATATGCAAATTAAACAGCCTAGTACATTGCCTTTGCCTCTAGATCCCACCCCTCACACATTTTCAATGGCTAATCACTATGATGGTCTGCTCCCTACCCTATAAGAATGTGCAGAAAGGGGCAGCCAAATGTCAACGCTAGATGGAAGAAAAAAAATAAAAAAAAGGAAAAATAACTAAATGAAGTAAAAAAAAAAACAACAACATTGTGCTGCATCCATACTGCTTTGGGGCCCACCACTTCACAAGTTCTGGATTAGTTAAGAGATAACATTTGCCATGCTAGGAAAGGGGCATGTTTACATACTTACTCAACTACTCAGCATGAGGGGCAAGCTGGTAGAAGACCCCATCAGGCGTTTATATAAGTAAAAAGTGCATTTTTGGCCAGATTGGGTGATATTATGAATATAGGTTCTGCAGAAAAGATCACCAGCCTTGCTTGAGTAATATAGATGAGACATGTTAGAAAGTCTGTCCCATACTTATCCAAACCCCCTCTGAGCCATATGGGCGCCCTCAGCAGCATGTGGGCCATTTAACTCATCAAGGGCTATAGTTGCCTTGAATTATCTCTTTTGGCAGGTCCCACAGAACTTAAGGGACATCAAAACGTGAGTACTGAACAATCTTTTGTGAATTTGTGATTTTGGCATTCACTCAGCAGCAATTCCTTTGGACGTACTTGTTTAAATTTCAGAAGCACAGCTTAAGTTAATTAAAGTAATTAAGCTCCAGTAAATTATTTTTCTTTTTTTACACAGCTTTTGCAATGTGCACTGAATCAAACATAACATTTTCACTGGATTTCTATTAATTTATACACAATTTCAAGCTAGAACAAGTCAATATGCAGAAACAAACAAACCTCAAGCAAACTTTACAACTAAATTAATATACAAACTCAGCATAGCATACTGCATCCAACTTGTAGCAGGTCAGAGGAAAAAAATGTTCATGAAGAAGCCTGCTCGCATCTGTAGAGCACTCTGAAAACAGCATGTGTTCAAGATTACTTTCAGCAATTAAAAATCTACATGTAAACCCGAGATGATTGATCTCTGCATCAAGAAAATCTCACACAGATCAAATCTGGAGTAAGGCACACTTCACATAATCCAGACATCCAGATGGCTATGCATTAAGCATCAATACTGCCAATCAGAGCATGCATTCCCATGAAAAATGACTCGTTTTGAGCAAACAAAAATACTAATATTCAAAAACGTATCTGCTCACTTTGCTAAAGCCTTAAGATAGGCAGTATTCAACATGCAGAAGTTATTCAAATATCTGATTATACTCCCATTATAGCAAGCATTAGCAATTCAGACAGTGGGGCTGGTAACAGAATTTGCATTGTGATTTTCACTCAATCCATTGTCCGCCAATAGGGTACTGCAGGGACATTGTGATGACCACCTAGCTGACTTCTGTTTCAAGGAGCAACTTTTGCAACAAGTATATTAAATCTATTAAGTGATTAATGACATATAGAAAATACTGCAATTGACAAAAAAACTGAGCAAATTAACCCTAATGTGAGTTTTTGGCACTCCAGGGTTTTCAAACTCCATTGCTCAAAGATTTGCAAAAGGTTTGTTTGTCACACTTCTCTGCACCAAGCTGCACTCACTGACCACTTTGGAAGAATCACATTAATTATTTCATCTCTCAGTGTTTGAAGAGAACCAAAAATGTGAGCTGTTTTTTATGCACTATATTTGGCAATGTATGGGCCGAAGCACAGAAGTACCACCCTGCAAGAAACAGATATCTGAAGAAACAGTCTGTAAAGGAAGTATTTTTCAAAATGACTAAAACCTGCACATTTTGCTTCTGAAAAAAAAAATGAAGTGTCACCAATCTTCACTCTTTTAACCACTAGCCTACTGGGCACTTATACCCCCTTCCTGTCCAGGTCAATTTTCAGCTTTCAGTGCTGTAGCACTTTGAATGACAATTGCGCGGTCATGCACCATTGTACCCATATGAAATTTTTATAATTTTTTTGAGACAGATATAGCTTTCTGTTGGTGGTATTTAATAACCTCTGGGATTTTTATTTTTTGCTAAACAAACCAAAAACTGAAAATTTTGAAAAAAAGTTTTTTCTTAGTTTTTGTTTTAAAATTTTGTAAATACGCGGTTTTTCTCCTTCACTGATATGCGCTAATGAGGCTGCAGTGATGGGCACTGATAGGTGGCACTTGTAGGTGGCACTGATGGGCATTGATAAGCATCACTCATATATGGCACTGATAGGCGGCACTGTTAGGTGGCATTGATAGGCGGCACTGACTGGCATTGATAGGTGTCACTGACTAGCACTGTTAGGTGGCACTGATAGGCAGCACTGACAGGCACAGATAGGCGACATCGATGCGCACTGATAGTCGGCACTGACTGGCACTGATGGGTGGCACTGATTGGCAGCACTGATAGGTGGCACTGACAGGCATTGATAGGTGTGACTGACTGGCACTAATAGGTGACATTGAAAGGCAGCTCAGATGGCCACTGATATGTTGCGTTGATGTGCACTGGTAGGCACTGACATGTGGCATTGATGCGGCACTGATGGGCACTGGCAGGTGGCACTGATGAGCACTGACAGCTGGCATTGATAGACACTGACAGGTGGCACTGCTAGGGCTACACTGATCATCAGTGCCCTGATGATCAGTGTACATGTCCCCTCTGAGGAATGACGATTACCGGCTCTCCTCTCCTCTCGAGCTGTGAACGCCAATCGTCGCGCTGCGCATCCCAGAGCCGCACATGCGCTGTTAGAATGGGAGGACGTCATATGACGTCCTCCCAGAACGAGAGAACCGCCTTGCACCTGTCATTGCCTTATATGGCGGTTAAAGGATAAATTCACATGTCATAACATGCTACACCCATATTCAGGGTGTAACATGTTACAAATGGACTGGCCCCTGCACCCCCCCCCCCCCATTGTGACAGCTACTGGGGGATTTTCTCCACCTGCTAGATGTTGCAATTAAAAAAAAAAAAAAAAAATGGTAGTGTGGGGCTCCGCCCACGTCACTCATTCACAGTATTCTCTGAATGAGAAAGCTACATCTTCAGGCAGCCTTTGTGGCTGTCGGCTTGTAGTTCTCAATGAACTACCACGACGCTGTGGAGAGCTGTGGTAGTTCATTGAGTCTTCCTGTCAGAGTGTATCTGCTTGCCCTTATGATGTAGTCTCAGAAGACCTGCATGGCACCAGTGATCTGCTGACCGCTGGTGCAAGGCTGTGCAATGCTTAAGAGGCTTCAGAAACAAAAAAATAGTAAATGCACATTTTTACCTGCAAAAAAATGTGCATTTATTTTTGTTAAAAGTTGAACTTATCCTTTAAAGAACAACTATTGCCTGAAATTTCTTTTGCATCTAACGTTTCAGGAAGCGTTGGATGCCTGGTTGTGGTTTTATCCTCTGCCTCTACATAACACAGTTCAATACAAATAATGCATCAGTATCCAATAAATCAGCAATGATTTATTTATTACAGGATACTATTCACATAGTTCATACACCATAGTCCATTTTATCCTGCTTTGAGATATAAAGAGCTGTATATAGGTTAGCTACACAATTTCACAATAGTGGGAAAAGATTAACTTTTGGCTGATGAAAATTGCCTTGCTTTTTTAGGCCCGTGAGTTTCACACCTTTTATATTTATTTTGTAGGAACTGAAAAAAATTAGATATTGTTAATGATAATATTAATTGCAGACTGAAATTTAAAAAATGTAAAGATGTAAAATGTAAAAATGTTTAGCAGCATAATGGCTTGAAAACTGATCGTAATAGTAACATAAAATGGAATGGTTACAAGCACTGGACATCCACATGAAGAAAAAAATAAAAAAAACATCAATACAATTTCAACCTCTTCCAAGCAATTAAACATGGGAGAAAAGTGGAGCTGTGGACTTTGTGAAACAAGAATTAAAAGAAGTGATATACAACATTGGGCAAGGACATGTATAGATGTTAGTGGAGGTACCAGGGAACTCTCCAAGGAGTCAGTCTAAAATGTTCATTTTGTAATGGGCTTTAAGGAAAATAAAACAAATCAGAGCCAGAAGGGTCCAAAGCTAGACCTTTACTATTTTGAATGTGTTTTGATTTGCCTTTTTACCGTGAGCATTTCTCCTGATGAAGTGCTGCTGATTCTCCAGCAGAATAACAAATGAACTGTTAATGACAGCTATTAAAAGGTGTGAATGTCATTTGCGCCTTCCTGTAGCTGTGCAGATTTGTGCTATGTTACCAAACACACCAAATGGGAAAAAGGAGCCAGCAGATAAATCAATAAGGACATTTATTTTATTTTTTTTTCTCCTTCCCTACTTTTTTTAATTGGCGATTTTTAAAAAAAAATTTAAATTTGTAGACCCAACAGAAGAAAACATGAAAATGTCAAAAACACAAAACTCTTGAACCTCTGACTACAGAATTTTGATACAAATCACCAGTACAAATATACAGCATAACTCAGGTTATGCAAAACTGCAATTTCATTTTGAGGCTAAACTTATTATATTTTGTCTTCTGTAATGCAATAATATATTATGGAAACTGCTGTATGGGTTAATGCCCTGGTAAGTACTGAGATTTTTTTTTTTCTGCTAGCAGGTAGAGCTCTAGGCTTCTATCACATACAGTATTTACCAAGCTAATTGTAACTGATCTGATGAAAAACAAAAAAACAAAAGACTGTTTAACCCCTTGGCGCCGGCACCTCCTGGCCCTTTTAAAGTTTCAGAAGCTGGGAGGCGGGGCTGGGTTTTAGGGTCATGTGACCGCCGTGATTTGCTGTCACAGTAGTCACATGATCGGAAAAGGTCCCGATCGCAAGAGGAGATCGAGACTTTTCCGTGAGTACCGGACATGTGTGCTGGGAGCGTGCAGGGTGCGCGCTCTCAGCACACGTTTTTCTTCAATTGCACGCAAATGTGCAGCTGCTTGGCGTCAAGGCTCGGATGCTGGGAGGCCGCACATTTGCATGCGGCTGGCGCCAAGAGGTTAAAGAACTGTTCACATTAAATGTACTGCTCTATGCAGTCCATTCAGACTTCCAATTTGAGACAGAATCTGATGCCTATTAAAAATCATGTCATTTATAAAAAGAAAAAAAAATCACCATAACTTGTGTGTGAATTCAATGGCCTCCCCATCACCCCATTCAATAGCTGGGAGTGAAATTAAATCACTACATGGGTAGTCAGGTCGGGTCTGCTTGATTGTTCCTCAAGCAGACCCAACTGGACCTTCCATTCTCTTCTATGGGCAGTAGGTTGTAAATGGACCTGTGTCCGTTTACAACCGACTACCTCCAATCTGATTTGGCAAAAACAAAAAGAAAAGGGATCTGTTCCTCTCTGTTTGGCCGGATCGGATAGGAGGACAATCGGGGTGTAATCAGACAGCTGGTCTGTTTATATCTGACTGACCATAGAGGAGAGTACGCTGTATCTGTGTCCGGTCAGCAAATGCGGAGCGGACACAGACCTGTCATCCGGCAGCTCTGCTCAGCAGGGTATCTTCACATGTATTCCCTAAAGAGCAAAACAGGATTCAGCCCATGTGAAAAGGGCCTAAAGCAGAGTGGCTACTCACACATGTCTTTGTATTCCCCTGTTACTATACTGATTGGTAAAATACTGTCACATGGGTGACTCACATACTTGCTATTCCAAAAAATACTAGTTATTTCTTTTAGCTCCAAGCATAATAAGGAGCAGTGAAGGAACAGTGGAGGAGCGAAGGAAAGATAAATATATAGTGCTGGGAAAGGGAGAGTTAAAGGATAATAGGTAAACCAGTAAGCCAAATGAAACAGATTTATTATTGAACTTCATCTTAAAGAAGGTGCATGTTTTAAAGAAACACTGTCACTTTGCTCATATAAGGAAAAGTGGTGGTGCTTCCTGAGAGCCCCTGCATTCACAGGAGAGCATGTGACCTCCCATATGTGACACTGCTCTGAGTGGCCATTCACTAAACAAAAATACTGTCCCTGGGGGGCATTGACATCATCCCATGGATAAGCTCTGCCCACTGGTGTGGGCATGAATGGGTGAGTATATCTTGCTGAGAGTGAACGGTCAACCCTGCCCTGAGTGGGCATGTGACTTTGTCTATTTAAATTAGAGCAGTGCTTGCGCTAAGCAACAAATTGAAGAATATAAATCATCCAGCAATCTCTCTCTTAATGATAGTATTTTGCACTACCTTACTGTAGAGCCAACTTAAAAAACTACCCAATTGTATTTTGTTATTTCTTGAGAATACAGTATATTTCTATTTATGTAAATGAACAAATTAGCTTTACAAAGTAATACTGCCTCAATAATATTACAATGTATATACCAAAGGTAATCTCAAATACATGTTTCTCTACTTTGAGCCACAGGCTTGCAGGATTGTGGATGGTGTATATGTGTCTCACATACACATGGTGAGGGGTGCTGATGTTTATGGCTAACGTACAGACAACAAACTTTTTTTTCTTGAAATATTAATTTCTGTTCTAGGTCCTGAAGCCTTGAGGCTTTGTAGAGATTTGGATGGGATAAAGCCTCCTATCCTAGGCCCATATCTTACCTGGTAGCCAGGCCTAATTATTAGTTGCATTACATGCAGTGTGGTACCATTTATTTTAAATTTCTTTTTTGATATGTTTGTGCTGACAGTACAATAAAATAAAGTGCTGCCTGTTTCTTTTGGGGAACCCATTGGAACAACCTATTAGCCAGAAACTGCCCTGAGTTTGGTCATTAGATTAAACAAGAAAATCATCTGCTTTTTCATTCTATGAACTTGCTGTAAAAAGTTCTCCTGCATTGAAACCGTTTATTTACCATCTTGCTAAAAAAAAAAACTGCAGAACAAGCCTGTCTTGTTTTCCTCTGCCAGTGCCAGTTGCGCCTGTCCTCCCTATACTACTTTTATCATTTGAACATCATCATTACTTTTGCTATGCCCAAGTGCTACCTGCTATTGTTTATAATAGGGTTTCTCAGCCCAACGTTGGTAGCAGCCCGGTAGGTGAGAGAAGGGTGAAGAGGCTTACAAAGACAGCTGTGACTGGGGCAAGGGATGCTGTGAGAAGGAAGGGGGGGTGGCAGAAGCCTAAGCAGATGTTCCATTAGGCAGCCCCATACTTATCTATTATACACCATTTAAAGGTTTTTCTCCAAGCACCAATGCAAAGATAAATGTTTTCTTTGAACACCAATGCAAAGTTAGAATTTCACAATGATCACCAATGCAGTTTCAGTGTTTATTTGTGTCCCTATCATGCAGATATTGAATGTGAGTTCTGTTTTAAATTTTGTTTGTGTTTGTTATATCTGCACATTTATTCCTGTATTTACAAGTCAATGGTCACACTAAATGTACCGCAAGCTGTAGATGAGAAAATATTTCAGGGGTTCCCCAAAATCTTAA